TTTGTGCAGTGATCAAACACACTCCTCCTCAGGCGTCTTCGGAAGAAGAAAGCGTGCTTATCGGTGATCCTGCACATCCCTTTACATGTCCAATGCTCTTGGCTAGCTACCTAGTGCCATCACTACCAAAACAGCTTGCTCGGCACAGCCTATGTGCTCTTTGTCTGCCGCCCCGTAGCAGATCTGGACTGGGTACAGTCTTTCTTGTAACGAGGCATACGAAGAGTTTTTTAGCTCCAGTGAGCAGGCCTACGATGGCATCCAAGAAGCAAAGGACCCTACATCAAAATTTGGTCCATGGGTTTGCTGGACTATTCCTTCGGCGAAACCCGGGTTAAACACTACAGCTCTAGCTACAGGATCTTAGAACCACATAGCCGGCTACAAAAGTATCTTCGTGGTGTGGCGTGTCAAACAACGACGAGTCCAAGCTTGTTCCTGGCTTCTGCCAACTCAGCTCGACGCAGAATCTTCGTCAATGGATCCGCAGGCAACTCTGAGCCTGCCATGTGCTTGATATCAAAGCCCTCTGCAACGCACTGATCGCGCAAGTATGAGCACCGGATGCCCACTGCCCTTGTTCGGGCCGTTATGCACGCTCCATCATCTCTCACCAGGTTGATGACACACGCCGCGTTGTCACTGAAAAGGGTCATGCTCAGCTTCGTGTTCAAAACTCTTTCCAGAGTACGCTGCAAATGTACCCCTGTTTGGGACGTGTTCGCCGCTGCATCAAGCTCTGCTTCGAAAGCACTCCATGCGCAAATTGTCTGACGCTTGCTCGACCAAGAAAGAACGTGTTCTCCCCAACAAATCCAGGTCCCAGTTCTGGAGCGCGAGGCCCCGGTGGCAAAAGAAGCGTCTCCAAAACAAAAAATGCTATCTGTTGTTACATCCATGTACTTGTACAGAAGCTTGTATTGAAGAGTGCCTTTCATGTATCGCCACACACGTTTTGAAAGGGCCAGGACCTTCAAAGGATCAACAGTCATCATGGTAGCCAACGTTCCAACTACAGCGCTGGTATCTGGCCTGGAACGCAAACATGCCCACTGCAACGAGCCAATCTCCGACTGGC